GAGCCCCCTCATGCCAACCCCCAAACTGGGGACCAGGAGGCTAAGTTTGTCTGGCCTCTAACCAATGATCAATCTGGTATGAGTGGCTCTGAAGGTGCAAAAAGCACCACCTAGCATAGCTTAATGGATCACCAAGGCACGCAAACCATCAACCCAAGGTAAGGTCCAGCCTCAATGCCTGCTAAGCGAGTATGTATGAAGAGAAAAAATACAGCTCGATCTAAACATCGGACCAAGCTTTGGAGATGTGTCCAATAATTTCCACGGATACAAAGCTTTGTACAAGAGCGTGGTGTGATGTGTATTCCGATAATGAAGATAAGTCTTATCGTCGCACCATCACTGCCTGCAACATGTCCAGTAAATCATTTAATGCGACGTAAATTACTAATGTGAGTATTAAACAAAGTGCCTAAATAATAAAGTCATTTGTGACCATGTTACAAGCTTGGGCAACCATGTATACTTTTGATGTGCGCAATATGCGTGTCCGCATTTATGTCTGTGCGCATTTCACTATGCGCAAATTTCGTGCGCGATTCCATCGACAGGGCTATCTTTGATCAACGCTATTACCCAAATTAAGTGTACCGAAGAAAGCAAACATGGAAGCAGTAAAGAGTAGTGGAATTTTAATATAAAAATTTAGAAAATTCGCAGCCAGATTCTAAAGAAGATAGTCATCCACATTTCCAGTAAAGCATTAGCCTGAAGTATCAGCCCGTTGGGCATCGTAAACAGTGAGCATCCATCGAATCCAAAAGGTTTAACGTGCTACGTCCTACATAGCTACTGTTAGTGGACGTCTTGTCCTATGGGGGTCAACCCTGACCAATGCAACGTTCGTAACTTGTATGACATTGAGGAAGAGAGGCTCTATATCGCCGTTAGCTTGTAAATCATGACGGTCCGAATCTGTCCCCCGTGGCCCAGTGGCATAAGCTGCTCACTGGCGGTTCAAGCCGCTAGTGGTCATGGGTTCGAATCCTGATTGATCCGATGGATGCACATTACTGACGATGCCCAACAGGCCGAAACTGCAGTCTAGTGCCTTTCCGGGCAGGTGGACGACTATCTGATTTGGAATCTGGTTGCGAAGAACCTCGATCAATTGGAAATTTAATGGTACTTCAGCTGGAAATGATATCGGGGCACCAGCGCGCCACATTCGTAATTGTTCCCAATGATGCCTGCTCGACTGTTGTGTGCATAGGTGTTATCCCGCCTCTCGAATTTTCTCTTGGTGATAATTTTTGTATAAGATTGAGCAGACACTTCTTGAGTTCTTTGCATAGAGAAGAACCAAAAACTTGTAATTCTTGTATCCTCCTCCTTATCACGATTGGATGATATCACATTTACCTAGCGAGCCTTACCCATGATTGTGAAAAGAACTAATTCCGGGCACAACAGCTTCTTAATTACCCGAAGCTTGCGCCTTTGACTTGCTAAAATTAGCCACAACGCAAGCCTGAGTGACCGCCAGTAAGGTTTGTTTTAAATTAGTTGGCTTGACTGTTTTGGCATATTCTAATTTCCGTATACATGGAGACCGATTTAGCTCTTTTGGCGACAGGCATGACTTATCTAACTCTGCTAGTATCGGAACAGGACCTGGTGTTGCACACACCTAACAGTGTGGTCATTTGTAGGTTGCTTCATAAACTGTCCTAACAAAGACTCCTCTTCATGTGCTGTTATCGCTGAACGTATCCAGGGTGACTCATTAGATGATTAGCTGGCTCCATGTTTGTGTCGGTTAAGTATGCCTGTTCATTTCATTAATTATTCGCTGCTTAGTTTAAGCGAATAAAATTGTTCAACTTGATCCACCAGCCAGTGGAATTCGTGATTCACAGTTCCAGTGGTCTATTGCGCTTTACCTAGTAGGATGTCTTTTACCTGCATCCGAGAACCTCACCACTAGCTGTTTCTTGAATCAACTTCGGTATGATAGCTTTGCAAGTTGAAGGATGTATGGGCTACGATACCTTCCCTCGGTCTTAACCGAGAACGCCTAAATAGTCCACAGGTAAACTGTTATCAGCTCATAGCCTGATCCTTTTTTAAGTTGGTCATTTACTAAGCCACCGCTAAGCACTAGCTAGGTACGTTGGTTTAATATATTGGGTGAGTCTATACTACCTCTATACTCGTCTGAAGTCCGATGAGTAAGCTATCATGTAACAATTCTACGGTCCTCTTACACATGCTTATTATCAAAGCTCAAGAACAAAGGTGATATGGATGCTTAGGTTGTCAAACAACTGCGACACCTGTAGATAATTGCCCCCGAAGAGCAAGAATGTACCTGGAGATAAAGGTGGTACGTCTTTATCCTGCTGAGCAGTGCATTTGTGAGCCGTTACAGGCATTGGGTGGATAAACTTCGGTCTAAACTGACAACCTGGCCGTTGTCGAAAAAGAACCCTTAGATAGTTATCGACATTTATATTCTGGTTGACCTAAATCTATGGACAGCAACCCGGAATAAGTTAGCAAATACCGCACGAAAATTCAAAGTTGAATTTAGCGAACACGCTGTGTGGTTGGGTTGCGATTCGCAACCTCTATTGAGACCTCGGTTCACTTGGAGGTAAACCACGATAATTCCGATCGCGAGGACCGTTTCCTGAATAGAAATATATGGGTGTTGCTCTTCCCAAAACTGCCACACCACGACCACGGTTTCGTCCTGGTTTGGACTACTCATGTGGAGAGAGCCTGGGCTGGGACGGAACTCAGAGCCTGGTAGTTCACGACTGACGCCCTGAACACTATGCTACTGAGGTCCGCGAGCAAAGCTTGGCACAGCGGAAAACAATTCAAAGTTGCATTTAGCGAACACGCTATGTGGTTGCTAGCGGATCTCAATAGCATAATTTTCAGGACGTCAGTCGTGAATTACTAGGCACTGAGTTCCACCCCAGCGCAGGCTATCTCCACCTGGAGTCCAAACCAGGACGGAACCGCTGTCATGTTGTGCCAGTGTTGGGATGGGCAACACGGAAACTATCGCACGACTTACGTACCGCTTACGTTTCACTTTGATCAGTGAACGTTAGTCACATAAAGCTCACCCATACTGGTTATCGCGTACAATCAGTTTAGGTGGGTATCTAGCTGTTTCTCATTGGTTCCAGAAACATACGGTTCGTTGTTTGTAAGTGCAAAGTTTGCGCTGTCTGTTCATTCATATTTTAGTTGAGGTTGCTTTACTATTTTTATTTACAAGGCGACTAATTTAAAGATGACTGAGAGATACTAAGAAACGAAAGCAATGTTAAACTCCACGCAAGCAAGCAAAAGCAAAAAACTTTGGAAATCAAGCTTGTTCTCATTAATTTCTGTACCTCCGTTCTACATTGGATATACTGGTTTCTTTTTTCTGCTATCTTACCTGTTTGGTAGCTAGTAAGAGATCTCCGTCGCCATCATGTTACTTGCAGCTTAACCAGGAGGAAAATCCACACGCGGACTTGACTTCCACCGACTTCTGTTTCAAACTCGCTAACTCTTTCGCACGGATGATGTGACCTAGACTGGTGACGAAACGTTTGCAACCAAATTGCCTAGCTCGGCGAACATCGCAGCACCAGGCACCTAAGGTATGAGCAATACTAACAACTATGGTGTTTTTTTGGATTTGTAGAGGATAGCTAACGGAATTCAGTCGTGACGAAAACCAGTGAACAAGTGGAGCCAATCGAATAAACACTGTGCATCGGAAGGAGAAGTGGATGATTACATGCTCCTTTGTGAACGAGGAAGGAGCAATCGACGTCGCACATAGTTCAAGTATGGGAGTCTTCACAAAACCCATTTAAATCCCCCTTTGGACTTCAACTACCTTGTAGCCAAATGACTGAGTTGTCACAGGTGAGGTAGTTACTCCAACTAACCTGTCAGTTTGGCAGATATCAAACTAATGTGTAGTTGGTGGCCGGTTGACTTATGTTGAATCTAACTGAATTTGCATCGTGGTCGAAAATCTAGAGAATGCAGTCCATGAAACCAGCATGCAGTATGAAAGTGTGTTTATACCAGAGTAATCTGTGGTGAATTATGTAGGCACTTCTCAGACGATCATTGGAGTATTCTCTCGTTACCCTACATGTCCATTCGACGACTGCTTTTTTATCATCCAACGGAGCGGTTTTACTGACATTCAAGAATAGTTCACAAAACCTAATCAGTTAAGCCGATACTAATACAAATAACATAGCTTTCGTTCACCAGCTGATGAGGGAGGTGAGCTATCTGGTACTGGTACGATTGATACATCCGTCATACTCCAGACTCTTACCAGCGTATCGATCAACTCTGTCTTTAATCTTGACCGCACATCTGGTTTTATCCCACTCATTTCGTTTTTTGACTTCTACTTCCCCTTATGTAGCCAGTCTCCGTTTGGTCTAACCGTCTATAGTGTATTAACAACTAAACCAAACCTCGACTGACGAGTATTAACCTAACCTCAAAACATGTAAGCCGTTGAATAAATGCGGATAGTTGTTTCAAAGGACATCTGTCACCACTTGACAAGTAATTACCAAGGTACATGCAACAAGAATGGCCTGCTGGAGCACAATTCCCAAAGCGGCCTACTGTACTAACTTCTGCTAGATTATGTTACGCCAGAGTAAATATATTTTATTTCCAAATATAAGCACCTGATTTCACTTCGTAATGTGTGCGCACTAATGGAGTATACCATTCGCACCAAACAAACCTTCTGATGTTCCTTTGATATGTCGATCATTCACCCATGATGAACACATGTTTGTGAGACCTTTGCTTTATCTTTCTTTAAATTTTATTAAAATCCGGCTTTCAAAAGACAGTCCTTGCATTAGTTTGATAGGGTTTAATTACGCCTACTGACTTTCACATAAAAATGAACCTATAATCATCAACGCATTTAAATATGAATGTTTATTGGATTAATAATGGACAAAACAAACGAACACAGAAAATTGTATCGCCCGAAATTGTCTCACCTCTCCAGTTTGCCTTCCAGCATTTTCATTTGCTTTTGAATTTCGTCCATTTCGCCGGATGCCTGATTAATCAACGATCGAAATTCCACGGCCACTGGAGGCATTCCCTCTGCAATAGACTGGTAAAAGTTGCTGAAAGCAACGTTAAAAGAAGCCAGATGTTTTAGCAAACATTTGTTCTAACTTTTAAGTTACGGCATATCAGTCTATAAACGACGGACTCGCGACCTACTACAAGGTATTACGACAAACCGTCATTAGCTTCAACCCCAAAGTCCAATGAAGTTGGTTGGGTTTCGGTGGGTGCCTGACTGATGATTAGCGTCGGTCCAATATTACCAGGCTGATGAAACCACGAACAAGGCCAAATAAACAAACGCACCCTTCGAGGCGTTAAGTGACACTGGCTGCGGTGAAGGGACACAAGATGTCTCAAGAATACTTCATTTAAGTCTGTAAATAGATGCTTAGCTTCTTTCAGACACATGGCATCTCAATCTATATACAGTCATTGACCGAAAGTTCAAAACGACCTTTTCTCGACGATAGTGATGAGTGGCTGATTATGCTACACGTTAGTTTAGTATAAAAATATTTGTATAGTGGCTTTGTGGTGAACTTAACTAGAATAGGATGTAATAATCATGAAATAGCCTTCGTTACTTACAGACTAACGAAACCTATGGACTGATGCCCGGCCCCAATGGCGTTTGTGTTGTGAGTTCCTTTGTCCATCCCCCTCCTGTTTAGCATCCCCCTCCAATCACGATCTTACTTGTTAGGCGTAATATAACTCTCCTTTTACGGCACGATAGCCAGCTGTTAGCTCTCCGGAACGATGTGCATCCGTTACTGGGGACTCAGCGGGCGTGCCAGTTTGTTTTTCTTTTCTTGTCTTTTGTATTGCGGCACAATAGCTGAGGTGTTTTCCACCTCCAGCTAACGTGTAATGATGATGATGATGATGGACTGATGCTGAACAAGCTTTATTGCCAAAAACAATGTGCTTTCGGTTTGATGTAAAACAAGTTGCATAGCTTTTAGTTGAATCATACACGTAGCTCCTCATGTGGAAAGCGACCGTTCCGCTCCAAGCGGCAACCGAAGCATGGAACAGCCAACTGGAAGTGTGCACACATTTGATATCCCAGGCCTCACATGACAGCCGCCGGTTCATGTATAAGATCTTTTCTAAATTCCCACGATAACATAATTGCACGACAAAGATTATGCTGCCTGATCGAATATTACTCATGAAAATCTAAGACAACATATCTCCAGTGTAGCTGTTCCACGAATATGCATGCACATGATCAAACACCATCTCGAAAAGGAATCCCTTGTCGGCCACCTCTGCACTCTGGTACACCTTTCGCTTGCAGTTTTTGCAAGCACTGAGACACGAACTGTTCGGCGGTCTGTTGGCCGGTAGTGGTAACTTCTTTTTCTCCCGTCGTAATTATCATTTGTATTGTTGAGTAGTAGGGGGCTTGTTTGAGCATGCAGTAGGGTTCATCAAGGCCAGACTCAGGCAAACAGCAACCATCAGTCCGGGAAAGCCCTAGACAATAGTGCGATTCAAATGGGATTCGTCCTCAGTGCGCGTCTGTCGGATCCCGCTGGATCCGAAACCATGGTGTCACGCTTACGTGACAGCGACTTAAGACACTGAGCAGTGGATGATGACTGTGGAGCTCCTTGACTGACCAATGACTGAAATTAGGGACAATATCCACCTCAGCTGACTACATACTATCTCGATTGGTAACAAGCTGAATGGAAAAACAGTGGCCTTAGTGCCCGCCGTATACTGCACACTCCCTTACATGAATGAGACTGGAGGATGAGCCACGCTATACCGCAGTTAGAAAACAGTCATGGCAGTCCGCCGCCGTCACCCAAGATTCAAAGTCGCTGACTGGTAAGAGCAAGCCCATAGTTCGTATCCAACAGGACACCTCGGATATGCGCAACCGAGTTCCAATAATATGAAACGGCTGTCTAGAGCCATTTCGGATGCTTCGTGACTTTTTGACTAATTCTGGCTTCTCATGAGCATCATCCTTACACGCCTGCTAAATTTAGGCTTAGAAATCCGTCATTTTGGTAACACCTGATATTTTAAACTAGGCACCCCATCACACTGAAGTACATCCACAGCCGCCGTTTCCAAACCCATCCTAAGTCCACCCAGTCATGAATAGAAGTGGTAGAGCCTCAAACATTTTCCCTCAATCGACTATACGCTTGCCTACATTGATCTTCTAACTCCTCGGCCAGATCCTATCATTGTAACGTGCAGGCCGGAAGTAAACATTCTTGCTATTCACGTACAGTGGTACCCTATTGTTGTTATAATGTTTGTTAATGGAAGCAGGGCGATGTCAAATGTTTACTACCCAAAGCATTTGACAACTTATAGTGTTGTTGCTTTTTATCATAAAGACATAACATTCTGCATCCGATGCCTTAACAAGTCATCATCAAGGATGGCTCATTGAAGTAGTTTATATCTCATCTACATTCAGCTTGAGCAAAGGTGCATCACTGTTCCTTACCTTTATTTCCTCTGCATCAAATCAGGAATGCAGCGTTCACTAAGAGCACTTGCACACATTCATGGCTGAAACGGTTTCAGAATCACACCACAAACGGTGCATAGTATAGCCAACGCTTGCTGGGAGAATAGACTAGGAAGACAGGTGCACAGCAGATTCGCGAGCGACGTGTATACAAATAAGGCTTTGGTATACCTAATCAGTAAAACGAACTATACGTCAATAAAGTGTGAAGAAAACACCCATCGAACGTCTCTGTTCATCAACCGCCAACTTCGCCTTCTTCGATGAATCATACAATGGCTTCCGTGGTACATCCCACACGTCTATACTCCAGTGTGACCTATGGCATGACTACTAATTCCCTTCATCCCGCACATAGTCAACCGAGTCTGCTCTCGTACTTTTCAAAGTTTTCCGCTTACTACGATACTTCAAGTTATCTGGAGGGAAAACTTACGTATAGACAAATGAAAATTTTATACTATGTTTCTGCTTGCATCTTTAGGCGTGTATTCAGGGTACTTCAATTGCACGGAATCCCTAATCACCACACCGAACCTCAAGAACATTAGGCTTAAGCGCCACCATTCTCCTCGGACTATTAGTGACACATATACATCCTAGCAGGAAGCTGTTCAGATAGCAGTGAGATTATTAAGGAAGTGGTATTTCTAGGTGCACTGTCTAGCGCCAGTGGTAGAAAGGATCCACCAGTTTGCTATCCACCAGCCAGTCCTTAGCCAGATCAAGATTCTGAGACGACTGACTGAGAACGCTATAAAATCCACGATACTCGACCTAGAGGGGCGCTTTGCTCCCTCATCCTGTATTCTAAACTACGCCTTTTTGTCCAAGCACTCCAAATGAACTATCAGCTTCTAAATTTTGCTGACATATCTTTCTGCCAGATCTACGAGTAGGGTAAATGCGGTAGGCCTCAAGGAAAGGGGCATTTATCAGTTGAGTTAGTGTTTTCTTTTTTGATGCTTGAGGCACGTACATATGGTTTATTGCTGTCCGTGGTGCAGTGGTTTGCTTTCCTCCATGACCCACTAGACTGTGCTGGGTGACACTTTCTAAGTGCTTTCAGAGCTACTCTACCAGACACGTCACTGGTTACGGGTCAAATCGACTCAGTCTCACAACCCTTCGTAGGTTAGGGAGAGGTCGATCACACCCTTCCCTCAAAACTTTCCAAAAAGACAACCTGTGATGGGGTATACGCTCACAGCTTGAGCGGCATATATAGCAACAGTGCCACGTATTGAACATGGTTTGTTACCAAAGATCTCATGCCAAGCTGCTCATGGTTACCTAGTTGCTAACCCAGCAGCCTCGAGGGGTGGCTAGGGCCGCACCACCCACGGCTCCAATCAAATACACCGTATCCAGTGTAAGCCCGAAGGAATAAGAGCGGGAACTATGTGGATTGGAGCCCCGTTTCATCAGTGGAGCCGGCCCACACTCCTTCAACATGCACAGCAGCAACATTCCTGTCTATCTGTGGAGGAAAGTATGCATACCAGGCGTACACAAGACGGTGGCTGGGCCGTAGTCTGCTCCCCACTGGGTGCATGGAACAACTCATTGAGCCTAGTATGGACACAAGAGCGGTGCACCTTTCCTCCCAATCTAGGAATTATAGTCTCATGGAGCCAGTAATCCAAGTGGCAAGTGTTATACAGGTAGGCAACTTGTCAGGATTCACCTCAAGCACAGTCGCACCAGGAATAGCAAGTAACCGACATGGAATTTGAATAAAAATTTGAATTTAAAGTAAAAAAATTTGAATAAAAATAATCAGACAAAATTGACTTGGAATATGCAGGAGAATAACCGAAATGAGCAAATCAAAGAAAGTGGAATACTGTTTATCAAGGTTAAGAATTCGTTTATTTGTAAGTCGGTGTAGTTCAAATGCGACGATGAAGGATAATGTATGCAACACCATCCTCACCATGAGGTAAAGGTGCGTAATATACAACGGTCGAAAAACCCCTGCGCATTATCGTAAATATCCAAGGGCTCTTTTGACACTCCCCAGGCGGATCCTAGCAAGTCTCCGCAATCACACTGCTGAGAATGACTTGCTCTGCACTTCCCTGTGGGTCAGGCTGTTGAGTCAAAGGCGCCGGGTTGAGTCGCTCAAGCGTACATCCGTGTACTCCACTGAATTGTGGATCGGAGTGTTGAGTACAAGGATGGTGGTAGGACACCACGGAATGGGTAGTCGGAGAGTATCATCTGCCCTCCCGACCCCGTTGACAATACTATCGCTTTTCTTCACATCTCTGAACTCACAATTGCTAACCTAGATGAAAGTAACTAGCTCCTCAAACCAAGGGTCTCATGTTACCTACCCTATTTCGTTAGACTTCCGCACTCTGGGTAGGATCGATCGATGTGCAGCACTAGATTTCAATCTGTACATTCTTGCTACTGATATGTACCGTGTTTTCGAAACACGTATAAAGGACAACAGCGTCCTGACGAATCATAGACTTCCTGTTTCCGAATCTGCTCTCTATGACTGCACACTTCTTGTCTCTGGTGTACTGAGCCAATGGCTCTAAGGTATTTTTACTGTCGACATCTCCCTCAGAAAACATGCCGAAAGCAACCTACTGTGATAGATATCAGTGAACAGCTACATGTGTGCGGTTCTTCTTCAAATCTCCATTGTATTCAATAAGCGCCATCTGAAGAAGATGCATCATTACATCGCATCCGTTTTGCTCCCAGTGACTACAGTACAGCGAGTATGAAAGACCACTTCTATCGTCAACTCTTATCGCTTCTCCGTATAGCAAAACATACTGCCACCGTGATTGTTGCTGGTGACATGCATGTCAAAGTGGGTCGAATCTAACTAACTCAAAAGAGACTGTTTGTGGGTCGATTCACGTCGAACAGACCATGGCGAAAGATTCCTACAACTATGTACCGACCAAAAGTTTTTGCTAAAAGATGGAAGTGACCATTTGTTGACTGCACTTGCTGTTCAATTCAACACGATTCGGTACACTGTAGCAGCCTCTTTAGGCTGGTGAATATTGAGACGTTACTCTAACTTTGTTTGTCCCCAAACTTCTTACAGGTATTGTTCGTCGGCAAATTACTGGCCCACATGAGAGACAAATTACTGAAAGTTAAGCAGGCCCTCGTTCTGGCCGCGGTTTTATCGGCCACATAATTACTCTTCGTAGAGTTAGAGGAAAGATACACCTACCGACGAGCGACCAGGCCAGTTTTTCTTGCTATGAAGCTGCCTTCGACTCTGTCCATCGAGCCCTCTTGCGATACTGCATATGCCTGAAGGGAGTGCCTGGGAAACTCTTTTACACTCTGAATTCTCTCTACCTTGACTCTCAAAGCAGAATAAGAACCTACGGGAAGCTGTCTTCTGAGTTTATCTCGACAGATTGGGTTCGTCAGGGTTGCCCTATATCTTTCCTCCCCTCTTTTGCTGTCGAACTATTCATACTTATCTCCGTTCTCTCCCTTTCTTCTAGAGTGCAAGTTCTGGAAAGTGATCGACTGCCTAACCTCGAGTATGCGGACAACATAGCTCACCTTCGGTCTGACACAGTGGCTACGCAAGCACTACTAGACAGACTGACGCCTAGCGATGCACGCTTCGGCATGTGCTTTGCATCTTCAACGTGCAAAGTACTGTTTCAGAACTGGACTAATATACCGCCTATTCTGGCTGTCAGCGAACAGCCACTTGAAGCGTTGAATCGGCCCACTTACCTTAGTAACCGTGCCACCTCTGGTGGTCACATCGCTGGGATCGATTAGCGTCTCAGGCGGACTCGTGTGGAAATTTAGATACTCAGCCCTATATGGAAACGGCGAAAAATCAGCCACTTAGTCAGTGAAAACTATAGTGCATAACGCCGTGATAAAGCCTGGGTAATGTGTACATCTGAGATCTGGCCAATTTGCACTGAAGACATAAACCGATTGCCCGTGTTTGACCACCCGTGCCTCCGTGATATTCCCCATATCTGGTGGAAACAACGGAGTAGAACTGATGAGATCCGCCAGTTGGTGTTTGGCAGGATTTCTCTGGTGCTTCAACCGAGTGTCTGCTAAGGCTTAACCCCTTACATTGGTTTGACCATGTCCTGTCTAGTTCTCTAGATCACCTTCCTCGGCATGCATTATACGCTGTCGCCACACTAAATTGGTGAAACTGCGAGGTGGTCAGTCGATGGCGCAGCATAAAGGCGTGAAGAAATTGACTGAGAGACCTAGTTAGGTCTGCGCATGCCATCTTCGTGGATGGGTCATCGGGATGTTCAGCATCAGTGTTAAAATATTATCGGATATAACAAAGTGGAGCGGTCAGTAGTGCTCCCGCGGTCGGTTTCTAGCATCTGGGTGTTGATACCCATTCCATCCCGATTATTTCTACGCACTATTTCTCTTGACTCCAGTTGTTGTGTACTTTTCGTGTTCGGCCAAATTTTCTTACAATCATTTTTTAAACTGGCAACGCGAACCGGCGCGACTGGACCAACGATACTTCGATGTCTGGAACTGTAACTCCTTGTTTACTGCCCCTGTCTCTGCCAACACTCCGTCCGTTAGCAGCTCAGTGTGCAACGTTTCTTGTGATAGTTATGTTATCCTCATTGGTACTACACCCTTGACACCTCTTTTGTGTCGAGGTAAACAGTTAGTTAGTGCCGAATTCTTCTCTTACACGAGGCGGTCTCACTTCTCATAGATGCACATACTACCTTCAAACTTAACCTTCCAAATGGCCTCCAACCGATTCTACGACTTTTGCATGGACACTTCAATGCCTAACGGAAGATACGATGAAAATATTATATATTCAGGTGAAACGGCAATCATTCTCGAGCATATTTAGTCTGTGGAATGTATACATCCCCCGTCAAGAAAGTTTGAGCTGAGAGCATTTTAGTCACAAACCAAGCGAAAGCATCCAATGGCATCAGCCGTTACGCTCTGTGTAAATATGCCCCCTTAGATAAAATAACCTAAAAGAATTCCATAAAGCAGTGATTGCTTATACTCCGAAGTACAAGCCTATTCGAAACATGTTAGGGCGAAGCTTAATGGGTTTGGTGCATATTTTATTTAAAAATAGTATCGGCATACCTCTTACAGAACTCTCAGTGGTAGACGGCGTCAACACGGCGGACTGGTGTGTTTGTGGAAATCTCGCAATATCTGGTGTGTGTCCACCGAACATATCAACTGAGTTGGAGACGCACCAAGGTTTCTTATCCATCGAAGGGAATACTATCAGCCAGTATAAGTTGTCGCTAAACATATTGCTGTTACATGAAAATGGGCAAACATTCAGTCGCTAACATCGAACGTACCTGGTTAGTAGATCTCGCAAAGTCTTCAATGAGGCGGCGCTATTTCTTCGTGCCTTTGCCATTTCATTGATCATCTCTTCAGTTTTAGCTTTTACCTCCATTGATTTCCTATGTTGCATCGTCTTCGGCGGCTGTATATTTTCCATGTTTTTCCAAAACTGACCTAGTAAATGGATTTTCACCGATTGTTCAAAATCTGTTTTCGCCGAAATGTAATCAACTTTCATTACAACAAAAGCAGGGTAGCAAAAGAGAAAGATGTAACAGTGTTGGATCAAGATAAACTAGAAACATAACTGTTTTATGTCTCAGAGTAGGGTTATTGGCAGGCCAACATTGTGGTACACTATAAGGGATAGACCGGTTGACTTTCTGCTTAATGACGGAGGGATGAACTTTATTTATTCTATGTTAAGTATCACAGAGCAAGTATATTTGCTCTGGTACCACTTAGGGCACTGGTGTGAGCAAGAGCAGTTTTCGGTTAAAAGACTAGTGAAGCGTTATTTCCGCCAGATAGTTGATACTGTAGGCTTCGACACTTTTTAGGTAAATGCGTCACGTTAGCGTGATAACTGAGAATAATTCATCCTGTGCTGGTTTTGTTGAGGGCTTATACTGTCGACTGTATTATTTCCTCTAATATAACAACAAGTACTGTCGGTCAGTACTTCTTTAGTAGACAAATCGTTATAATAGATGGTGTTAGTATCACCTATGTAGCTGTGTCCATATTGGGTACAGCTCATATATGGACAGGTGGTATCTTGCTCTTGCATGGACAAAATGCAATCGTGCGCCGGTCTTTGCGTGATTCTGGCCAGCACATACCTTACATGCTTGTGTCTTATTATAAAGCGTATGACCTCAACTTGTCGTGCGTATCTTGTAAACACTGGGAACCACTTGAGCTGCGTAAGCTTTCCCCATTTCACCCACTAGTCGCTATTTTGTCTCCTGAAACAGATTGTCAGACGATCTCCCTGACGGGAAGAGCGTCATACTTGTGTCCAGGTCGAAGTAGCTTCCGAACCTATTACGAAATGATTTTGCACTATCAAGAGACAGGCATGTGATTGTGATCCGATTTCACATGGCGGAATATGTGACTAGAGAGAAAAGGAACCGCATCTTTGTTCACCAACCTGACATAACCATGGTACAGTCAATACAACGAAGCTCCCGGGTAGTACTGTGCTGCAGTTTTAGGGTAGGCCACTTGTAATAATGTTTGTGATGCTTCAGGTTCTACAGTGGTAGCAAGTTATACATAAGTCTTAGCAGCCAAAGTGGATCGAGTTAGAGTTGCTGGTACCCATCCCGATAGCAGATAGTAGAATTTTTGCCTACTAGGCATTTGGCAAACTACCGCTTTAAGTTTTCTATAGCTGTGCTGTCGGATTTTCTCATTCTGCCACAAATTATCTTACACTACTCCGTGATAGACAGGGCGCGAGTTTAAAATACTTTGACTATGGCTGAGATTGCCTGCATGTTTCTAGATATATTAGCGACAGGTTGTTTGACCCGTGCTAGCTGGTAATCAATCTGCTCAGAGAAGTTGATGATACAATAAGGCCTGATTCCGAAACAGCTAGTAGACTGTAGTACGCAGAAGCACTGGTCGTTGAGTGCTACAACTCCTTCACTTATCAATCAAGCACGACACATAATACTTGACTTTCTGCTGAGAAATTCATTCGTCTGTCAAATCATGTCCAGAGAAAACGAGAATTCTCCTAAATGAGTAGTAATGTGTTCTGTAGTTCCACTTGTCTGAACTTACAGAAAATCTTTATATCATTGGTAACTAAGAATGGCATATCATGTTTACTAAAGCTACTGAGGTTGACAACGCAGAAACAATAATGCACCGAGCACACTTCCTTGGATGACATCACTAGGGGTTGGATGCGGGGGAAAGTGATGATCACCTAAGGTGAATACCTGGCAGCGACCGTTCAAGTATCAAGATAACCAACCTAGTAGTAGGTCCTTGACTCCAAATGAAACTATCATGTTCGTGACTGTTTGTTAGGTATCCGAGCAAGTGCCTTTTGCACTTCCAGGAATAGCGATATGATTGGATATACTGAGTTATTAGAGTTTGCGTAGCTTAAATAACGCGGGTGATATGCTGTGCACGATGTCGTGTCAAGATTGCCATGCTGGGAACTATTTATCAGCTCCGTTGGGTTAATGAAATGCATCACACACTAAGTGACCAACTTTTCGAACAATCCGGTGATTATGGGACTCTGATGAACTGCTAGGTAGTTGTCGATTCTGTTTGGGAGTATTCCTGCTGAGAGGGATTATAGACGTGGTTTTCCGCTGATATGGTAAGCAGCGAAATGCCAGCGAAATGGTAAACATATTCAAAAGGAGCAATCGCGTGCTAGGCAGTTCCAATTTTATGGAGGATGCGATGATGCCATCCGCTTCCAGCATGGACGAAGGTTTAATAGAATCCGTTGACTGGTGGATAAAAGGGAGAGAAATATCGATTATACATTTGGTGTTAGTGGTTTTTGCTTCCATACGTGCATGTATAGGGCCGGTATCCTGGTTCGTGGAGGCAGTGAGGCACGAGCAAAATGTTTTATGGAATGAATGACCGCCTGGTGGACCAGTTTAGTGATCAACGGGAAACAGTTGTTGGTTCTGCGCCGCAGAACTTTGACGGTTTCTTTTGATTTGCATGTTGTTCGTAGGGATGTCTGCGCTACATTTCTCCTCTGCACCGGCCGTATCTGTTTGACTTCAGCGATGAAGCTATGCATGTAGAAAATCGGTGTGAAACCTCCTTTCTTCTTGTACAACACGATCAGTTTTCTGGATTTCAGGCTAATTACAACTCCGGCTGTGACATTTCGACCTGAGCGATCCGCTTGTCACGTGAAGTAAGGGAGGCTGGATGGGCATGATGATAGAAATGCCTCACTGCTGTGTATGCACTGTTGGCGAAGTATGTATCTCAATCAGAAAATCGGATTAGCTGTTAAAGTCTTCCTAACCAATCTTGTGAATTTCAAAGTGGGTATGAGAGGCGCGTTTTTTGCTCACTTTAACGCCAGTGTGAAGCGTACCAGAATACTTGTGCATTGGCCATTCCTAATATAAATATCAGACCTAGTATGTTATTCCACCCAGTTGGCGTTGTAACCCAATGTTTCCAACCGCCTTCTCTTACAGCATAAAGGAAAGTTTTATGTAAAGACGAGGATAGTTGGGAAGACCACATTATCTTTGATAGGTTGAAGTCACCGGCAATAATCCTTTGCCTTTGAGGCATCACAGATGTGACGTCGAAAGCTGAAGTGCTGCTGGTAACACTTGCAATTGACACATCCATGTTGGCGCATTCGAGTAGAATATAAAAATAGTCTCATGAAGCGGATAGCCAGAGATTTTTGGACATTTACTATGGATTTTTATGGAATTCTGCCTGTAAGCATATAGTGCAACATCCTCCTTTTCTTGTACGGTAATATATTCGAAAACAGGTGGTTACTATAAAGAATGACATTGGAGTTTAATGTATCGGTGCAGCACCACTTCTCGGTAACGAGGACTCGTTGTGGTTCGTTGAGTCGTGCAAACGTGCTTAGAACCTACGGCTTGTTGTTAATGGATCAGGAGTAATCGTAGCACTAGTAACATGCAATAAACCATATTGTCTACTTGTTTCGCGTCATTGTCATGTGAGTATTGACAATCGAGAATTACGGTCGTGGTAGATTTATACGGGAGAAGTGAGGTTTGATATATTACTAGCAATCGTAGGGGTAGGCGTAATGTGTCATCTGTCGAAGCCGGTTTAGCTGGGACGGGGGGAGGATTAAGGCACCAAGTCTAGATTTTGCTTGCCTCGGTACTTATCTAATCTAGTCATCTGAACAAATTGTAGAAATAACTGGAGCATATAGTTGGCTTCTGATAGATATGTCATCACTGGGACTGGTTGCATTTTCAATAGGATGGTATCGAGAAATCGTGTGAAGTGCTATGCATACATGATAGGAAGTAGAGTTAGCAGTTTGGTAAAGTTACTTCTGTTAGCATTAGTTTGTCTATGAATTTTGTCGAAGCGTTAATGGTCAATTCTCACAGCAAGTAATGCCAGGCAATTTTGTGTTTTTAGCAAGTTTACCACATGTTTCGAGGATGCGTTATCAGGAGATGATCTTCCGTTGTCTCCGAATTCTAATCTTTACCCAGACAATTCAAACGAACTGAAAATAAACTTCTTCGGGATAAACTTACAGAAGCTTGCAGTAACAAGATTTTTCGCAACGGTCACCGCAGGTCCGATTTACTGCACCACTGACTATTCTTAGTTGTTACTCTTGTGGTGATCATATAGTGGGAGTATCATACTATTGGAATCCTTGTATCCAGAAAAACTGTTTGTAGTGCTTCAAATGAAATGCGGAGTGCATGTACCTCCACGCTGGGAATGAAGGTTTCTCTTCCTCGGTATGGAATCAGTACAACCCTTTCTTAGAACAGTAATATGGAAATATAAGAGGTTAAACTGGTTGTCCAACCCGAGTAGAATAACACACTCCGAATAGGTTCTTACAATATATAAAAGCATTGGATATTATTCTTGGCAGTTAGCTCACTCAAAAATTGACAACTCGTTACTGGCGTTTGTGGTTTACTACCGCCTGCTTTTTCGGCACCCGTCCTGCACCCAACTGTACTTCACGGGTGGTCCTTCAGATTGGACATTCGCGACAACCAAACTATCATTCCACCGCGTAGAACTTTAGTCTTCTGCTTTATTTCTACCATTTATTATGTTTCAATCTTCATGCCGTCAGGTAGACAAATGGGTTCCTGGTGTTATACGAGACCCTCATTTACTGTGTGTTTTTGTGAATGGAAATTAATCGAAAAGTGCGAGTGGCATGTTCCAATTCATTAAAAACTCTTTACCTTTGGTAACACCATACCAGTCAAATCATCTTGTTAAACCGAGGAATTTTTACTCATGAGGTTTTTTTCTGAAATGCCCTGATGACCTAACTGGAGTACTTGACCACGTAGGACAAAAAAACTACTAAACTTCAAAGGTGGCACGTTGAATGATAATAGTGCAACCATTGCTGCATTAGTTATAGCGGCAATAACTCATTGAAGGGGTCCTATTAGGGTGGCATTAACGTCTTTGGACCCCCTGAGACAAGTTGCGTTAGGAGGACTTCTTTCATGTAGTATCCAACTGCACAGAGGCGTTGGTTGACAGTTTTTGCTATCACGCTATCCCTGCCTTAAGGCTTCTTTGCTTTCTTGGTCTGTTCAGACTTCCATTGCTATTTCATTCTCAGCCACGAGTGTGCTCAGCCGTAAGCTTTCGTGGAGGTCTAGCTTGAACCAGGTCACTGGACGGTGAGGTATTTAACATAATACATCCGCCTTAAGGTTTCACGTTCAGTTAAATGAGTCCATACTAAACAGCCGTGGACGAAGCTGTGTTCGTTTGACCGCACTTGGCTCCAGCTGGATAACCCTGGTGCAGCACACGCACAAATTATGCGACCGGCTGGGAGGCGTGTGACCACCAATTTTCTTATACCCTTTACCATACCGGCCATATTTTTCTCTACTCTGGTTAACTAATCAAACGCCGATTATAAAAGTACTCGCTTTCCCTAGTTAAGAAATACCAGGTCCCGGGTTCACATCTTACTAGTTCGGAATAAAACTTGTGGTTACTACTCAGCAAATTCACTCAAAGAGTTGAAAACTATAATCAGCGCCCACGCGCTGCCCAGGTTGGAAAATACCCCTATGTATTGTTGCACATTGTACCTAAATGTTCAAAAAAATGCTCAAATTATTGATGGAATTCAGAGGATTACTGGTTGTAGTTAGGCAACCAACGTGTGGGTGGCAAGGTAACCTACCTTACATGCTGTGTTTATAAATACCATGCACTAAATTAAATCACCATACAGGAAAACCTTATAAAACTAACTTACACGCGTTAACAAGTTACCAGTGGGGTTGAAAAATATAACACCTTTCCATCCTTCTGAATGGTTCACAGTTGATACTATGAAGGCGATTGTTCAGCGGATGCAGCCGCAGAGCAAGGTAAACAACTAGTGTCAGGTCCACTGATTCACGCATTCTCATTACACCCAACTAAGTCACCATTAACCCATGATATAACAAGTTGGCAGGAGTAGTTGATCGTTTAAAGTGCGAATGAGCGCCCCATTCAAACACAACGGGGGGATTCTGTACATGCCTTGGGTTCATCTGGCGAATAAGAAGAAGGGTTATACTCTTAGGGCCATCCAAAGATTACGTGTCTCATTCTGTAGTGTTCCCGTCAAGTGTAAAGTAATTATCCGTGTACCGATGGACGGGTAAAAGCCAGTTTGCTAGCAACTGAAGACACCCCATTCAAAACCCTTGTACATTAGACAATACGAGCGATCTTACCATGACACTAAGGGGAACAAGATACCTGATTGGATAAGGTACCACGACCATGAGATAGTTGATCCAACTGAAAAAATATAAACATAATGCCACCAACAAGCAGACTTACTAAATCCAGCAATAAATTCTTCTAGGGTCAACTTCCCATCTCCATTAACATCCAGCAACCAAAAGGTATTCACCAGTTCCTCTAAATTCAGTTCCCCGGACGACCCCAATCGCGATGCTTGGATCTTGGACAAATCATTGATGGGCAGATATAAGGTGCCATCTTGCTCATCCAGCGTCGGGTTACAAGAGTAAAATAGTTCGGTTGCCAATTTTACCGTTTCCTCCTCATCCTCTGCATTGCTCATTGTAACGTTGTCGCTAAAACGTCAGTGGCTGATTGAGGATAAATGCGATTTTCAAATTGCGATGCTTAGTAATACAAAAATCCCTCATCCAATGGTACTAACAGGAAGGATATATGCTACACGTGTTTTAAATGAACCGGTCCGCAGTCACAATTCAGTTAAATATTTTTTAGTAAGGAATCATCCATGCTTGTCGACAAGGCGCAAACAAGGGAGTCATTTGGTTGCTTCCTTAAATTTGCGCTACTAGGTAGCTGTCGTCTATTATGTGTAACCAACATAATAAATAAAACTGACGCAATCGTTGATTGTCCTCACTATCCAACGGAGCTTCTCTCCTTCACCAGGGGTTGTCAACGGGTGCTGTATGATCGTCCAGACCTTCATATTTATATTGAAATATTTAGCCACTGATAAGTTTGTAGGTGACAGATCACCAGTATAAAGCCAAGAACCATAGACGACAATTTAACAGTATATCAGATGACAGAGCTTACTTAGTGAAATACCAAATGGTGTATGATCTGTGACATCTGATTAAGCCCATCATGATGTCTTAGCAATTTAATTTTGGCAATGAATAAGTTCTTGGGTGGCAAATCTGGGAGCACTAAGTCACTAATCTATCGTTAGATATAGGGCACAGCTACTTCTGAAACCGCCGCCAAAGTTACCACTGCACTTTGTCGCGTACTTCATCCCTAACTAAAAGAGAAGAAATCGTATTGTTAATTTAGTTTTTGGCAAGATATAAGAATTCATTATATGCATTTGTTCACTCCACTTCCTTTAGCTTCCTCCAAGTGACGATTGTACCAGAAGTTGCGTTCCTGATCGTGCGTGATTTCTGAGTACTTGATCACCTCATTGTTTCGTTTATGTTGCCTGTAGGGCGGCTTGCATTTAAATTGTTTCTAACCTCTTTTATATGCATATTTCAGTTGGCATTTATTTGCCTCTTGCAAGGCGCCTTGGGTAAAACAGCTCAATGAAAGTGCTTCTATGACATCATAGCCGATATCACTAAAGTACCGGTAGGTTTTCACTTTTCCGTCTGCCTGCGGCACAGCGACGGAAAGAGTCACATTTATTAGGACAACTACAGCTCCCTGACCCCGGTGTCTGCCTCTTCTCTTTGGACTTTTATGTAGGCACTATGACAATATGAATGTTCTTTTGGTCGCAAATCAACCAATAGATTCAGCTCCGTAGATCTCTCGCAGTTGAAATGCCTTGGTTTCACACCTGACGAATCGAAAGCAATGCTCGACTGTTGCTGAATACAGCTTGGAACTCATTTGGCATAAGTGGATGCGTGTAGTTTTCATTCACACACTACAATCTTGTGTAAGATTGCACAAATACTCTGGTGATGTTTCTTTTCCACGCACAGGCAGGCAACTAGCAACACTGACGAGAAATTCACCGTTATTTTATTACATATATAAATAAGCAAGTGCAACATCATTTAATGATTCCCGTCGCTAGCAGCATTTCACAATGTACAAAGCACTAAACAGTATGTTTCTTCTTACCAACGGGCACACTTTTTATAAAGACTTTCTAAGTTATGACATATACATATGCTCATTAGTATACCAGGTCACGGTGCATACACAAGGCTCAAAAGGTATGGTGTGATAATTTTTTAGTATGTCGGCTAATTCCGTTACTTTCTGATGTGCAAAAGGTTACGTATAGACCGCAAACTGATCGAGCAATCACTTTTATTCATAAAGGTGACCCTGTAGTTCTGTCATTGGTGAGAAGATCTTGAGATGATCATGATTGTTGTAACCTTTGTGGGCTTTTAAAACATCTGTATGGCCGAAGTTCCCTAAAGCAGTTTGATAACCTAGACAAGGAAAAACAATATACTGAGTCTTGTTCTACCCCACAGGGTATGTATTCGATGCCCTCTTTCACCAGCAAGGTACCCGCAGTCACCCTTAATAGTCCTGATGTTTAGAGGGAACTCGAAAGATTAGCAATACCAAATGCTACTGGACCAAATGCTTTATCAAAGCAAGTTCTACAGGAGTGCGCAGGTTATCTTGCGGTACACTTGACCGCTCTGCTCAACTAGTGTCTTATAAGTGTTACAATCCCTGATATTTGTAGACCCATAAGGATAACGGTCGCTTCCAACAAGGGGCCTCAATACTGTTTTCCGATTGCATGTACCTCGGTGATGTGGAAAGTCATCGCGAGACTAATTTTCTCTCATATTTTCACACGCACCCAGGCAGATGACGTATACCGGTTTGCCTATAAAACCAAGCGCACCACACTGAGTATTGTGTCGCACATGGTACATTCAGTCTCATGTTCACTAGATAATATTTACTGAGTAGTGCGGCTCTTGACTACCCAAATACTTTCGGTAGCGTCCACAGGTCAAATGTGCACAACCAGCTGCTCATGAGTGGGGTTCGAACGAGTTTGCAACCTGACAAAAGACAAGTTTAAAAATAACACCTATTTCGTTTTGTATAATACAATAAAGTCCCCTCCACATTTTTATGATAGTGATATTTTACAAGGAGCAATTCTCGCTCAAAAAATTTCCTATATCGTTCAAATCTATTGGATGCAATTATGGAAATGATGTCGGTATAGTCTGTGTGGCTCAAAAGCGTGAGATATCAACTCTGCAGTTTGGTGTGGATGTGTTTGTGTTGTGGTTTTTGTCTCGATCTCTCATTGTGAGCATTTCTAAGTGTCGGGATATCACATTCTCTTTTCTTCGGACTGCTAAAGTACAAGCCGCTCGAATGCCAATTCTTCACTGGCAATGAGTGACTAGCTCATACCCAGAACATCAAGTGACAAATAACAGGACCTTTTGATAGTCATTTATTTTTGTTTACATATTTAGCCGAAACGTTTCACAAGGTTAGAGAGCTACCATTGTTTGACCTGACACTCGTGATTTGATTGTAAATAGTAAGGGAATTTATTGAGCATTATGTTCAGATTCGCCGCAGTTGGACTCAGACAGACGGTCACCACACATCCAGCAAAGTGCTAGAAGGCCATTTAGTCCTATTGCGACTAGTCAGTAGCGCGCACCCGCCAAACACTGCCGGATTCGAACCCACAACCTTACTCTTGCCAACCAGCGACTTATGCCGCTGGGCCATGAGGGACAGCGGCGGATCACCATGACTGATATCAAACTGCGATATCACGAGGCTCATCCTTCACTACCATGCATGTTATGAACGTGCACAGGACATGGCTGGTCCCAGAGCCATGATTTCTTTGATTTGACGTTTAAATTACTGACTGCTTGTACTTGACCTCACTGTATTTGCCATTCCTCCGTAAATTGTCTTGGGCTACTCAAAAATGACTACACTTTGTTTGTATGGTACGTAAAACCTATTTCCTGAGGCAGTGCATTGTCTACAGAGCTCCTTGTTGATTTTGTTATCAACAAACATGTTAACGTGTGTATCAGTTTTCTTTTAAAGTTTTAAACGAACCTTTCCATCCACTATAGGTTGCTGTATAGCAAGCTCTAGCTGTTTCTTCTACAAACTAAATGTAGAGTCTATCTGCTCGTACAATTCTATCATCCCATAATTCTCACGATTACTCGTTGATGGAATGAACAAATTAGTGTGATGTGCAGTTATTTACTTGAGTGATACGCCAATACATCTTATATTAGACATCTTACTTGCTTTATTCATTCATTTCATGTATTTCTGAATTTGCAGTGATAGTGTCAAGTGATGGAAATGTACTCACCAGATTGCAAAGGGCGTATTTTTACATGACGACTTGAGGTAGTAACCTTTAGCAAATGCTTATTGATAATGACAAACAGGTAGCTATCTACTTCACCCAAATTGGCAGCTTGTATTCCGTTTCTCTATAGTTTTAATCCCATGTTCACCCTCAGACTTTGTGAACATCTTTATTTTGCCGTCCATCTGCTGTTCCATGCTGGGTGTAACGTAGTAACTTTAGCAAGAATTTAATCTGTGAACCGTTAGGAGGAAATGCACAATCTATTTCAGTGGATTTCTTACTTTTATCGCACTCAGTAAAGTATGTGTTCAAAAGGACCCATGTTTAATTACAGTCCTCAGTTCGGATGCGATACAAAACTGGTATAATCTTTGATCGCGTTGTTTTAGTCTTTTGAAAAGAGTAGAAATTTATTTATTTACTTTAATAATTGAACATAACTTACTGAGGTTGGCAATTATGACACCCCAGATACAAACTTGTGAAGCTTCTAGACCCACAACACTTATTCGCCTCCGACACTCTAACAGCTTAAAACGATCCGACCAACAGATGTACTGTGTTGAAGGTAATTTCGTTACTAGTGTGGGCCGTTAATTCGATTTGTGGAACAAAACGTTAGGCTTTTTACACTTTAATATTTGCAGAGAATAACGATGCGTGGATAGTACTTGCCCACTACAGGCGTGCAGGTTTATCACGGGATTTATCACAGAAAACGTTGGAAATGTTTTTGGTTTGTTATGAGCACCTAAGCTGGTCATTGGTAAAAAGATCGCGACACCTTCGCGCCAGTCCGATATGAATTTAGGAACAAAGACAATATCCCGAAAGCTGCTAGATTTAGTCAAGTTTCTCAGGGAAAGTCTGCTTAAGCTTTAATGGATTGCAAACTCGGATAAAGTTGAAGGACAGTCGATTCAAACCTGGACACCAAAAACATCTTATTCTTACCGATTAGGAAACTGACTAACTCAGGTAGGCATCGCGGTAGCATAGTTAATTTACTCCACCTTGTCACATATTTTCACTGCTTCATCTTCACCAAGCGCAGTTTTCATACACTCATTCGAATCAGATTAACTTCTCGTAATCAGTAGGCACAGTATTACTGAATATTTCCCTACGGATAGCGATTTATGCAACTCAAGCTGTTTTAGCGCTTCTGGTGCTACCTTCCACACGTGCAACTTTTTTGTTTATGTCAACCCTCAAAGCTTAGAAAATATTCCGATAAAGTATTCTCCGAGCTGT